TAATCTCATTAATCAAATTAAATTCCATAACATCTCAGACTGAATGCATTCTATTATTTTTTTAACAAGACTTAGTAAATGGTTACAATGAATTAAATTTTCAGCCACCCAGGTGAAGGAAAGCAAGGTTAAGAGAATAGATCATCCAGGTGTCAGAATAGAAAGCAATGGGTCACAGTAGTGATCTGGACTGGCTGCTATGTTACTAAGGAGCAGGTAGAAAACACCTAGTTCCAGATTTGGAAAGGGAGTAGGGGGATGGGAGAGAGGTTCTGGAGGAGCTGACATCTGTATTGAAGTTTGACAATGAGTGTATAAGGTGGGGTCAGAAGGTAATAGCAACAGTGCAGCTAAAAATCATTGCTTTAAGAAGCCATGGGCGATTCTCTTTGTAAATAAAACTAAGAGCCATACTGCAAAGAGGTTTACTGCTGAGGGCCATTACCCAAATAAGTCTAAAGTCCTCAGAGAACTGAGAAGAGTTCTCTTATTTTGACTTTCAAAAAGTGTGTATAATATATACCTTTTTTTGTTTCAAAAACATGGAAATGCATATCTCCTTAACAGATATTCAATTCAGCATAACGGCCTATGGGCAGGGAAATGAAGGAGGTTTTCATTCTCTACTTTTTGTTTGAGTATTGACATTGAGAACCTTACATGTGTATACTTAAAATCTGATTAAAATGAGAGATATGTGGTGATATTTTATAAACTCAACAGTGCACAGTATGATAGTTAACACCCAGTAAGCTGAATAGTAAGGACTAGTTTTCCCCTCCCAATTCATGAAAGAATAGAGTTTGAAACCAGCTTGAATATCCAACTAGTTACATGGGGATTTCCATTAGGAAAAATTCAAACATTCTCCCTCTATCAAAATGTCAAGAAGAAAGCACTTTTTCCTGACTCTACCCACAAGGACATTGGTCTAATGCATCTTCCATGGTGCCTCACACAATCGTCCAACCCAACCCCAGCCAGGCCCTCCACCATCCCCAAGTCCTCTCCTGTGGTGTCCTCATGCAGGCCAAGGTCAAGAAACAGCTTATCAGTTATAGACCACCAGGTGCAGAGGCAGCACAGATACTAAAAACACAGAAACAGAAGTGATTACTCAACATTTATAGTAACAGTGGAGTCATGTTCTGACAAATGAGTTTATAAGTGTCTCTCTCTGCTGCTTAGACTTCTTCTAAGAATCGGGATCCCTCTGCACAAAGCCCAGGTTTTTAATGGCTGAGGCAGA